ATAAAATAGCTGTAAAATCTTCTAATATCTATAAATACTTATAAATACGTTGTAAACCTTTAAAATACATGGTAAAACGTTATAAATACCCTGTAAAAAACCTTTAAAATACCTTGTAAATTTTTCCCGCCAAAAATTTAACGCCAAAAAAATTGCGGAATCACTTTTCCCGCAAAAAAAAAATTTTTGGGGGAAAATTTTTTGGCGGGAAAAATTTTTGCGGGAAAGTTTTACAAGGTAATTTAAAGTTTTTACAAGTGTTTTGGCGGGAAAAATTGGGGGATCACTTTTCCCGCCAAAAAATATTTTGTATTTTGTGGACCTAATTTTGTTATATTTTCTTATATATTTGTGATATCTTATATTAAAAGAAGGGTAATTTAGTCATTTTGTACATAAAAAGAGTATTTTTAAAAATGGACAACCAAATGGGGCATTTTTGAAAAGGGGTATTGAAAAAGGGGCATTTTTGTGAGTCTTCCTTTTTTTTTTCTATTTAAATAATGAGACTTGAGTAATATTCAAAATACAACTTAGCACAAGGCATTAAGTGAAACTGTGAAAGTAAAGATAAAGACAAACATCATAACTTTCACTCTAAGACCAAACATAAACCAAATCCTTCAATTGGTCTCAGAGAATGCATCATGAGCTTTTTTTATGATAGCTTCTTTCTCATCCCAACATCTTCAAAAAATTCACCAAGGCCTGCAGGAATTTCGTCCCAGACCAAGCTTCCACACCATTAAACCATAACCGCTGCAACAAAAAGTGATTTCCAGCAGCCATCCACTCAGTCAAACAAGTGGAAATTATTACCTAAAAAAGATAAACAAACTTAGCCATACTCAGAAAATCTTAGAGACCAATGGCTATTTAGTCTCTACGATTGGTGATTATCTTGAGGACCTCATGGTGGATGATGATCCACCGGATAAAACCTCACACCATTGTTCTTCTTGCATTGACGGGTATTTCTATCAGCATCATCAATGATGTTCTTGCCTTTCTTTCTTTTAAAGTTTTCTTCAATTTCATACTTAGATTTAGCTTTAAAATCTTGCATGGAGGTAGAGTCTAATGAAATTGGATGAGAAGAAGAACTACTTGATCATGGAAACCTTTGCATGGGATTAGCAGCAAGAAACTCTTCCAGATTAGGCATGGGAGTAGGCGGTCTAGGAGGTTGAGAGATGGGACTATATGATGAGATATCTGAACTGAAAGAAGATGATGAATCTTCAGGCAAGTTATGACTCTTGGTTCTCCTTTCTTCTTCCCCAACAGGATTGTCAGGAACATCTAAAGTCTCATCAGGAATATCAGGAGGAGCAAGGTAAGGGCAGTGAATAACTTGATGATTGATACGACAACAATTGTGCAAATCCTTCTAAGCTAATCATATACAAAACCAATCATAGCCCCTTCCCCTGATTCAAAACGAACTCTTCTAAAGAAGCGAAGCCGATCAGAAATTCCAAACTTTATCTTTACTCTGATAAACACTATCTGAATAGTGGTTGCTTCATTGAAATCAAGATCAACAACATGTCCAAGAGTACTTGCTATAAACCTGACTATCAATTCAGAGACATAAGGTAAAGGAATACCTCTAACCTGAACCCATATGTCAATGAAAGTGATAAATTCTTCATCAGGAAAGTCCATCCAGCGTTGTAAAGCAATAAACCATTGATTGAAAAGCCAAGGTCCTTTTCTAAGAACAGCAACCAGGTCCACTTCAGTCTGAAACAGGAATTGAACATACCTATCATCAAGAATATGACCATGCACTTTATATGATAAACGCCAGACTCTAGGTAAGGTGAAAATCAAAGTTCTTAGGTGCTGATCACTTGGATTGAGTGGTCTTCCAATCAGACTTTGCCGGTTTCTTGCTAGAACTCCAACATAGGTTGTATATGGGATACACAATTCTGGGTCATCACGTCTTAGAACCATGTGCTGTAACTCATCCCACAAGTCGTCAGACATAGTAACCAGAAAAAAGAAAGAAGCTAGGGTACTAAAAGAAAGAGAAAGTTACAGAAGTAAAATAAATTTTTCCTCCGTGGCTTCTCTCCTTGGAATGAATGACTCACGGTTGCGAAAAGGGTAGTTGTTCGGGTGAACGACTACGCTCATCACTTCTTGTGAATAGTAGTACTCTCCATCATAGTTTGCAGCTCCATGACGTGGCAAATGGTGTCTCCCAATGATTTGATCTCCAGAGGATTGAACGGCGTGGCGAAAGACATGTAAAGGTCGGGCAGGGGCCAGACCGGTTGCTGTGCCTCGTGGCCGGTCCGGACAGAAGGGGTCACCCCAGTCACGGGCTTCGTGACCGGTCCAGCGTGGCTTCTTCGGGACGGTCCGATCGGCTCAAAGTCTCCAATGGTGGCTGCTTCGGGCGAGTGAGGGTGAGTGCGGTATGCACCGCGTGCGGCTCAGCCCATACGTACCAAGGGTTGGTCCGTACATGTGGTCGTCCGAAAGCTCTTGTAATGCTACGAATTCTGAAAGTG